CTTTCTCTCTTTCTTCCTTTCATCAGAGTCTTCACATTGAGATACATCCCCAGTCCCATCAGCGCTACACTTTTTTTCTTTTTTGGTACCAGGGATTGAACTCGAGATCTTGCACTTGTGTGGCAGGCAGTGGAACCCCTGAGCTAAATCCTCAGCCCATCCCACACTTTTTAAGACAAAGTCTCCCTAAGTCTCTAAACTGTCCAGATTGGGTTTGAACTTGCAACCCTCCTGACTCAGACTCCCAGACTGCTGAGACTACAGGTACTCACTACTATGGCCACCTGTCTTATATAAAGCCCAGAGGCTCTGTAGGGTAATAATTTTTCTAGCCCTCAAGACCTACTAAACTTCCTGGATTATGCATAGGAATGAAGAAGGGAAAAGAGGAAAGTTTTCTCATTCCTGGAATCTTCTGATCCATAGTCAGACACATTATCCATTGTGCCACTCACCCACACAGTTTTCCTATTCCTTATCAGCTACTTCCTGGTCATTTAGAGAATCCAAGGAATTGTAAGTGGTATAACGTGTATCATTTCATGTCAAGGTGACAAGAAGGAAAAGAGAATCCCTAAAGGTCACATAGCAGAACCAGAATCTGGATTCTGGGTATGCTGGTTTAGTGCCCTTTTCCTTCTGCTGGAGGAAGAGAATAATGTGTTGAGGGGTTAAAACATGGGCTCTTGGGTGGTCACAGGTTACTGTGATAATTAAATTATTTAATAAATGCAAAGCCCTTAGATCAGCCCTGGTACAATAAATATAATTTTTGCTATCATCTTTCTTCCTTTTCTTCTACCCTTCATTGGTACCTCTCACCAGGTACATTAGTCAGCTTTTCATTACTATAAAAAAATTCCTATGACAGGCTACATTACAGAGAAAAAAAGGTTTATTTAGCTCACAGTTTTGGAGGCTTGAAGTCCAAACAGCATACATTCTCTTGCCAGGGTGCCCCTTGGCTTCATCACATTAAGGCAGAAGCACACGTGTCTATGTGGTCTTTGCCAGGCAGGTGAGACACCACTGACCTACATGCTTGGCTCTCCCTGTTTTAATAAAACCACCAGGATTCAATCGTGGAACTCAACCCTAATGACCTAATCTAACCACTTCCCAAAGTCCCCTCCCTCCTGGTCTAGATGTGTAGCTCAGTGGTAGAGCAATTGCCTACCATACTCAAGGCTCTGGATTCAATCTCCAGTGTGACACACTGCAGTCAGATTAAATTTCCACTCTCCTATAATGTCATTAACATAGAACTTTGGGGATTAACCTCCTGCATGAATGTGAGGGGTGTGATAACAAATCATATTCAAACGATAGCACCAGTTCCCCTCCTTTTGGGGAGAGCAGAACCCTGAGGATAATTAAATATGACAGAAACACCTTACTAGGTGGCAGGAAATGTAGAAGACTGACCATCTGGATTACTGACCCTAGTGGCCATGAGTAAGTTTTTGGGACTTCATAGATCTAAGGCCCAATAAACCAGACCTTGGCTAAATGGAGTATTTTATTCATCTCTTTGTTTTGGTGAAGAGGAAATGAAAAAGAACGCTTTCCACTGTGTGCAGCACCCCACCCACCCCAAACAGGTGAGTCTGGCCCTGCATTCTCCAGGGATCCGCATCCTGCACAGCAAAGGGTGGTACAGCACAGGCAGAGCTGCAGAAAGTCTAACCTCACCCTGTCTACCTGTTAGGCTGCTGCTGACCCTCTCAAGCTGGGTCCTTGGGAGGGTGGGAGCCTAGAATCACTTTCCATTATACATTTCCCAATGCTGAACTAAAAAGCAAGATTTTCCTTCTTTCTGGTAGGAGGGGCTGGCATGAGAGGAGAGTGCCATAAAGCCAGTGAGTTCCAACTTCAGCCCCTGGGCAGTGGAATTCATCATCACTCCTGGCAACTAGCATCTTCTCTCTCAGACTTCCAGCATCTGCACCTTAATGGATGGCAAGAGGAAACAGGACAGGCTTGCACCCGGGGAGGACCTACAGTTTACTTCCTTCCTCTAAACACAAATTGCATTGCAAATTTGGGACAGGTCTAGGAGAAGGACTCTAGGAAATTCCCTTAGCGGGCTGAATCTCTTCTAGGTTTCTATTCCATTTTTATGTTGCAGCCTGATTGGGTAAAAAAGAGTGCAGCATTGAATGTTGTCTACTTAGCAAGGGAGCCCTGGGCACTGGGGAGTTTTTAGTTGGGATTTTGTGTGAGCAGTTAGAAAATTAACTGGAGCAGCAACTGTACTGCCCCAAATCCCATTCTAGGGTCTTCTGAGTCTTTCCAGAGAATGTGGCAATATGACATTCTAACAGTTGTTTTCTAGTTGGTGGAACTGGGCTAGCTGAAACACCTCGCTGCCTTATTCCAAGCTCTTTGGGACCAGGAAACATACTTATCCATTCATTTATTTACATTTACTCATTCATTCATTAGATCCATTATTTAAGCAAAAGTACTGGCAGTGATGTAAGCCTTGCCCTCTCAGTGCTCTCAGTCTAGCAGAAGAGGCAGGCACTGAATGACTTACAAAAGCACTGAGGATTTGGTTTTATTTTTCCCGGGGGGGGGGTTGTTTTGTTTTGGTTCCAGTGATCAAATTCGGGTCCTTGGGTTTGCAAGGCAGGCGGTGGAACCACTGAGTTTAATCCCCCAGCCAGCACTGAGGATTTGGAAGAAGAAAAGCCAGACTCCCTGGTGTGATGGTTAGAGAAAGCTCCCTAGACTAAGAAGTGATATTTCAGTTAAAACCAGAAGGTATGTAGGAGATGCTCAGTCAGGCAGAGTGGGGGAAGAGTATTTTAACCAGAGACAGCAACCTGTGCAAAACTTCTGAGGGGGAAAAAGCAGGAGACAGTAGGGAGGAATATGAAACTGAAAGGGTACAGACAGAGGCCAGGCTATGAGGCCTCATAGGCCACCAAAAGAATATGGTTCTGGGAGTGCAGCTCTGTAGGGGAGCATGTATTTAGCATGTACAAACCCCTGGGGTCAATCCCTAGCACTGCATAAAGAAAAAAAAAAGGAACAAAAAATGAGGGAGCAGTATTCATCTTTGTCTGACAGTCATGGGAAGCCATAGACAGGTGTTAGTAAGAGAGGAGTGTGGTTCCAATTTTGTTTTATTTGAGGGTGACTGGTCTTCTATGATTTCTGTTACAGAGTACTCTAGTTGCTGTGGGATGCTGGGAAACTTCTCTCCAATTTTTCTCTGTATCTCTGATGGGAGCCTCATGAAGCAGGAGGTGCTCAGATCAAGAGACCCAGCTTCCACTGACAACTGTATCCACAGTCTTGTCCCGGCCAAACTTTTCAGGAGGACACATGTCATGTGTTAATTTTTCATGTCAGCCCCTGGGATCAGATTATATTCATGAAATCCAACTGCCTATCTCAGGACAGGGCACACAAGAGCTAAAAGAGGAGGATATTAGGAGTCACAAGGTTTCATGATCAGAACCTAACAGTACCTTCTGAAGGAACGTGATCTTTGATAGTTTAGGGACAGAGAACAGGGCTGGGCTGAGTCATCCAGAGTGGAAGGAAGGCAGAGTGGTCCATTGAAAGTGGTGGAACCACTTCTTGATAACCATCTGATGGCTGCTGGGGCTCACGTTAGCCTGCCAGCTTGTCTGCCTTTATTCCAAGGGCCACGGTGACCCAGTGTGGGCTGAGTGCAGGTGTGTGTCGGGCTTCTGGGGAGAGGGAGCCAGACAGAGCACTGACATCTCCCATGAAGGCATCCTGAGCTAGACCACCTCCCACTCCTGTTATAAATGTGATATTTAGTTAGGTTATTAAAGCAGCATGATGGAGCAAAAGAAGACAGGGAGTGTGAGCTTGTCAAGGAATCACTCTCAGCCCCTCTTAACCATGTAGTGCCCTCAGCACTGTTGGCATGAAGGACAGACAGTCTTTGGGGTAGTCTTAAATTTTGCAGAGCATTTAACACCTCTGGCTTCTGCCCTTTGAATGCTAGTCATGCCTCCTGGTTATTGTCACCACTTTAAATGCTTCCACATATTTTAAACTACTTTCTGGTAGGGCAATACCAATATTCCTGCCCTTATTGACAACCACTGTCTTGGTGATTAAGGGGATGAGGGTGTGTTCAGCTGTGCTTCAGGTCCCTGAGCTGGCAAGCGGTGGGACTTAAATGGGAAGCCCCCTATTTGAGATCTTACTGAAGGTTTTGTCCAGAGGGATGGGCATTCTTCCCATATCACTGTTTTTTTCCTTTTCTTTCTTTCATTTTATTTTTTTGTTTGTTTGTTTTTTGAGACAGGGTCTCACTATATATAGTTGAGACTGACCTGGAACTCACTATGTAGCCCAAGCTGGTCTCGAACTCAGAGCAATCTTTCTGCCTCAGCCGCCTGAGTGCTGGGATTACAGGCGTGTGCCACTACACCCAGCTCCCATATCACTCTTGAAGGCTCCTGCTTTTCAGGATCCCAAATGGAAATCCTCCTGATGCCCCCAGCCCATTGCTCACAGTAGTAACCTATAGCCCTGGTCAGAGTCTGGTAGGGAAACAGATTTGACAGGCATTTAGAGGTGGCCTCGGTATCACTCTGTTGGGCCACTAGATGGCGCCTGGGAGCCCCACACCCCCCTGCTCTGTCACAGGACTGGTGGTGACAAGAGTTCTACGCAGAGGGAACTTGCTTTAAAAAGGTCTGGTCCTTAAAGAGACATGGCCACACATCGGCACACTGTGTGTTAACCCCACAGTGAGTCTCCACCAAGGGCAAGCAGCCTGGGTAGGCTCAGAGGCTTCTTTGGCTTTATCTTCCTGAATGTTGAACTGCCACCTCTTGTAGCTAGTCTCCCTGGCAGGCAGCCTTCAGCCCCTGCAGCAACTCCTGGCCCTGATGAGGACAGGGCCAGCCTGGCAGGTGGCTTCAGAGCTCCTGGCAGAGCAGGGCAGGGCCGGGACACATCTGCAGGACTCTGACCAAAAGAGTAAGGAGCACAGCCAGCTTCAGGGAGTGATGGCCATAGGAGGACAGAGGGCCAGTCCGTGAGCTCTGGCCCCAGCTCGACCTGTCCCTGCTTCCCTTTGAGCTGATGAGATCGGAGCCATTGAACTTGATCTCTCGGCTCTGGGGACTTAGAGAATCCTCCTGCCTCCTCTTCAGCTTGAATCTTTCCAAATGCTGATGGGGACTTGAAGGTAAGTGAGGGGCGGAAGGGGCTTCAGGCCCTGCTCTAGAGGCTTTCTGGTTGATTCTAGGACAACTCTCTTGTTGACTGTGGGTGATGCAATCTGAGCAAGGTCTGGCAAGGGCCACTTTATCTGGGGCATGGCCGGAGACCTTCCTGAAATTACAGCTTGATTAGTCTGATCTAAACCAGCTGCTTTGCTTAGGAGGCTGAACTTGCCTCGGCCCATGGCTGTGGAGCGGGGCTTCAACACAGACCCTGGGGAAATGTGCAGGGAGTGTCACTGCTGCTGGGACCTGGATATCTCTGTGCTTTCTCCTGACAGTAATGCCAAGGGAGGCAACAAGGGGGTATATGCAGTGCCCTGGAGATCTGGTCTACATTTTGCCAGGGCTACAAATCTTCCCCATGACTCAAGCTGATATAAAACTGCAGTAGTGAAATGAATTGGGAAGGGCTTTGATTTTGAGTTCATCTCTATTGCGTGTAGACCTCACTGTTTGCAGGGGAAGAAAGGAGGCTGAGCAGAGGCAGGAAGAGGGCAAAGGACGGTCTTAGGCAACCCTTAGCGCAAGAGGTGACTTAGGGGAAGCCTGGGGAATTTTCTTCTTTCCATATCAGAGGGGTGAGGGTAAAGCTTAGAATAATAGATGCTGCTTTACTATACAGGAAACAGAAATGAAACAAGGAGTAGAAAATAGGCCACTGAAGATCTGCTGGGAAGCAAAGTTTATAGTCTACAAGGGCTGAGAGGAGGCGTGTAGGTCATCTGTGTGGGCCGTGGTGTGTTCATTTTCTGCAGGCATGAAAACAAAGCCTAGAGCCTGGCCCAAAGTGTATAAGCGGTAGGGTTTGGTGTGCAGAAGACTCTCAGATTGTGTTGTTTGTCTCCAGGGTCAACTGCCCTGTTGTAGTAGATGTGTTTTTTTGGGGGAACCAGGCCTCCTTTGCTTAATTATTGTTGGCCCTAGGGGCTTCTAGAACAACACTGCCTTGTCTTCTTCATGTAGCTCCTATTTCTTTACCCTGAGTTTAACTTCATTGTGTTTATTCATTTGTTCACTCTTTGCAGCCCAATATACACATGGACTCTGGATTCGGATTCGGTTCATTTCCAAGTGTTATCACCTGTTAGCTGGCCAATGGCTTAGCCTTTCTGCACTGCAGCTTCTTCTGTGAAGCAGAGATAATAGTAGGCCCTATCTCACTGGCTTATTGTGAGGATTAGGTGAAATAATCTATGTAAAGTACATAGAGCAATGCTTGGCACTTAAGCACTCAATAAATGTTAGCTGTCATTAATTTGAGTTGTTCAACAAGCGTTACTGAATGCCAGTCTCCTGGGCTTTTGGCAGAAAGCTGCTCAGGGATCAGCATAGTGCAGCGATAACTGCTTTGAAGGCCTACCTGAGCCTCACTCATCCACTGGACTGGGCAGTGGGTATCCTCCAGTGAGAAAGGTGCAGACCCAGCTTTAAAGAGCAGCTCTTCATGGAGGGTGCATCTAGCCTGTGTGCACACTGGTGATCCTTGGGTAGCCTTAGCATGAGGACACATTTTTTTTTTTTTTTTTTTTTTTTTTTTTTTTTTTCTTTTTTTTTTTTTTTTTTTTTTTTTTTTTGCCAGCAGTAACTGCTGCTGGATCATCAAGGAAGAAGGGACCTTCCTGTTGTGCACAGTGGAGCTGGGATGCTAATGTGAAAAGGGAAGAAAAGTGGAGATTCCCAGGTTTGAGCCTAAGCATCATTTTTATATGCTGGCCAAGTGGTTGGCAGAACTGAGTTGGTTGTCGGAGAGGCAGTAAGTAACACACCCTTGAGAATAAAGGGCAGACTGCTTGCCTTCAGAATGAGGTAGATCTCCTCTCCACCCAGCCCCTTGACATCAGACATCAGCCCGACTTTCCTAGCAGTGTAAACCAACTCTTTTTTTTTTTTTTTTTTTGGTACGAGGATTAAACTTGGGACCTTGCACTTGCAAGGCAGGTGGAGGAACCACTGAGCTAAATCCCTGGCTCAGTTTAACCACCTGTGAAATCCAGCAATAAGGGAAGAGCAGGCAGGTCACTACAGAGATGGGGGAGCTGAGGACAGCCTGAGTGCAGGCTAGAGGGAGGGCTGGGCAAGATGGAGAGTGTTGGCCCCAGGATTAGACAGAGAGTAGTTGGTAGGGGATTGGAGGAGGTGGAGTGGTGCCTGTTGACTCGGTGTAGGGTACAGGGACTGGCCCAGGCCCTTAGCTGAATCTGGGAGGTCTGTCTGCAAGAACACCTTCTGGCTTCTCTGACAGATTGGGGTTGATGGCTGGGGACAAGGGCACTTCCTATCAAGCCTTGGGCAAAATAGGAAGAGAATGGCTCTTTAATTCCTTCCTTCCCAGGGTGTGCAATAGGGTTTCCCGGCCTCTCCCCTTCCCTCATCACCAGGAATCTGGAGGCAGCTGTTTAGGCAGGCTCAAATCACTGTGGTGTTCTGAGGCCCACCCAAGTGAGGCCAAGGTTAGTCAGGCTAGAGTCCATCCAATGAAGCATCAAGGGAATCTTGAAGTAAAGTATCTTTTCCCAAGACATGTGGGTCTGGAAATGAAGCCAGGCTAGAAGAATTTCCTAGAAAGTGATCTCTCACCCATGGCCAGCAAATGGTCCATATCCACGGACCTTTGACACCCTGTAGCATGCGTGGAGTTTAAGTAGACGGGAGGGTCCAAATCCCAGTCCCCGCTAATTTGTCTGAGTGGGTCACTTGGCTACTTAGTACCTGTGTTTTCTTGCCTGGAAAATGTAGTCAGCTGAGATGATAGTGAGTTCATCTTTGTGAACAAAACTCTTAAGACCCAAATTCAAGCACACTGTAGGTATTCAGGGCAGATATTTGGAGTAGAGCCTCCATGCTTGTCTGTCCCTCTATCCTACATTGTGTTGTGGCAGGGATGGTCCCAGGCAGGATTGGATAGAATGTAAGGGGTGGGAGAAGCAAACTATGGCAACACTAAGGAGAGCAAGTACAACATTTTAGCTTGAAAAGTGCTGAAAATAGCTTGTTCAAGCCTTTGTAGATAAAAATGTAAAATGTATGCAAATGTATGTGACTCACATAGAAACATACATCCAAAGCTGCCTCACAGTCAGCACCGGATGTGACCCTCCGGAAAATTCCCATGGCACAGGGAGAGGGCCAAGGCTATCTTGATGTTCTTGTTTGGGGGGAGGGAACAGCACTGCTGTCTGCCAGGGCTGGTGATCTGGATGGCTGCAGCTCATGCTCCTGTTTCCAACTCTCTCTGGGGTTCTGTGCGTTCCCAGAGTTCCATGCCGATAGAATGAAGCCCTCAGCCCCTCTCTGCTCTTCTTTCTGCTTCCTTGGAGAGCCTGCTTACTCCCTTTCCCATCCAGAGCTCTATTTGTGGAGCGTCTCATTGGAGATGCACAGCCCCCTCTGCCGAGCTCCAGGTGCCTGCTTGGCCCTTCCAATCTTTTTTTTTTTTTCGTTGAGTTTATTGGTACTTTTTAGGTATAGAGTACAGTTACATTCATCATTGGGATCTTGTACATGATGTATCTTGGTTCTTATTTTTCCCTTTACCCCTGCCCTCCCTTCACCCCCTCCCACTCCCCTATTTACAAAGACTTTTGTTTCCATTTTTTGGTATTCTCATATTTTTTCTTTTCCCTTGTTTCCTTTCCCCTACCCTTCCCACTTCCCCTGCACCTTTAGCCCGTTTCTTCCTATTTCATAGTATCAGTTACACAATTTGGATCTTATTTACACTTTTAGTTTTTCACACCAGAGAAATCATTGGCCCTTCCAATCTTATATGAGAATCAAGGATGGTGGAAGGGTGACAGCTGACAAAGGAGGGGCAACAAGACACAGAACCAGAGATTGAGCAGGGGTGGAGGAAACTGGATAGAGGGAGGGGTGCACCTTAGGTCATCTGCTGCAGCTACCTATAAAGGCTTTCACACCCCAGAGCATCTTCTCTTGCACTTGCCAGGGGCTCAACCCAAGCCAAGTGAGCTGGCGGCCACTATCTCCCCTTGGGTAGCTGTGAAGGCCTGTGCCAGGCAGCTTATAGGACTGGGCACCATCCTCCTCCCAGCCTCATGGGTGAGGGTCTGTTCCCCCTTTTGAGGTGTTGGGGATTGAACCCAGGGCCTTTGCACTGAGCTACAGCACCAAGTTATTTTTAATTTCTATTTTGAGATATAGTCTCACTAGTTACCCAAGCTGTGCTTGAACTTGCCATCCTCCTGCTTGAGCTTCCCAGAGCGCTGTGATTATGCTTCTCCCTTTAAGCACTAGATCTGTGGCTGTTTGGAATGACAATGCACATCCCTGCCCCAGGTTCTGTGGATGGTAACAATACTGCCCTCCACAGAGGCCAGGGTGAATTTAACTGGTGCGTAGTCCTCTTTAGAGATAGGTCCTTTGAAGTTTTTGCCTTTAAGCTACCTGGGGATGGGTAGGGTGGGGATTGCTCCATGATCAGAAATGTCACCTTTCTGTACAAAAGCGTTACAGTGCAGGGTTCCTTTGGGGGAGGAGCTACTGCCTCCCTTCCCAGGAGGTCAGGAACAGAAAGGGGCTTCAGCCCCTGCTGTCCTGGACCATGCTAGCTTGACTCCCCTCCACTCCAGTCCCTTCACCCAGTGTCCCTCAGCCGGAGAATATCTACAAGACCAAATCTAACGATTTGCAACGGGTCCCGGATAACAGCACACCTAAGGCATAACTCCCACCCCCGGGCCCTCGCTCCTTTTGGTGGGGTGGTCTCTTCTCAGCAGAAGTTTTGTTTCTAAAGATTGTGTCCTCCGAGACGTATTGACCCCAGGGTTCCCAGAACTTGTATGTGCTTGCGCAGAGATAGGGAGTCCCAGAGGGGATTTCTGGTGGAATTGGAAGACCCTGGAGTTCTCCGGTACCCGGGTTTGCCCTTCCACCCCAAAGGAGCAAGCACATTTTAGAGTTGTTCTTTACTAGACAGCCCTTTTTGACCCCACCCTCCCTCTTC